CACGAGATCCAGATGCTGGAGGTTGTTGAGCTGGCTGTCAAGAAGTACTCCGCGCGCTTCGCCATCGATGCCACCTCGGTTCTTGCGGCCACGGAGGCGAAGAAGGCGGAATACACATCGAAGTTGCCGAAGGCTGAAGAGCCTTCTTCACCTCAGCCTGCTACTGGGACTTGTGCTCCTCCTGTTGGCGCAGCTGGGTCAGATCCAGACATCATCGTCCTCGACCCAGATGACAACGAGCTCAAGGCGAAGCTCAAGCGAGCTGGGTTTGATTCCACTGATGATCCAGAAGCGCTGCGCAGGTTCCTGGCGGACATTGCAGGGCACGCCAAGAGACAGAGAGTGGGGTAGCAGCTCACTCAGTACAGCCAGTATTGTTCTATGGACGCTCAATCCCAGCACGTGGCCCGCTGCGCAGGCCATGCTAGAGTGGGCGAAACATGATCATGAAGGTCGACCAGTACTCCCAGATGTTCTCTGTCTCCAGGAGCATCGGCTCATGGACTCGTTTAGGCGCCAGAGCGCCGTCAAGTGGGCGCAGCAGCGTGGATTTCAAGTCTCGATGCCGAAAGCTGATGTCACAGGGCCAGGCCCTACAGAGTCAAGTGCGGGATGCGCTGTGCTCAGTCAGTTGCCATCGGACAAGTTGGACTTAAGTGTTGGGAAAGATCCCCCGTCTTCCAGGATTGCTGCATCCATGATCAATGTTGGCCTTTCGATACCTTTGGTGGTTGTATCAGTATACCTTCACACCAGCGTCAGCCACGCAGGTGAGAATACCGAGCTTCTGGGCAAGCTGTTTCAAGCAGCTGGCAAGCTACAGTTTCCTTGGATACCTGCTGGGGACTGGAATTTGGTGCCAAGTGATGTAGAAGAGTGGTCAAAGCGTGTGCAAGGAGAAATCGTTTCCTCGGGACAGCCTACCTTCGGTGTGAGGGAGCTGGACTTCTTCGTCTGCAGCAGAGTTCTGATGCCGTTTGTGGATTCGGTTTATCTTGTTCCTGAAGCCCCAGCAAAGTCACACGCCCCAGTTGCCTTGAAGCTCAGCGGCACAGGAGCGCAGGCCAAGGTTCCGCGGCTGCTGGCGCCCAGGAAGTTCCCCATCGAGAAGCCACCTCCAGTACGTAGAGCGCCTCCTGAAGCTCGAGAGGATCAGTGGCCGTGGCGGATTGGTTATGAGTACCCTCCTGATCTTCAGCAAGCCTGCCAAGTTTGGTTTCGACATGTTGAAGCCTATCTTCTTGAGTTTCATGACATTCAAGGGTGGTGTTGTCAGTCATATGTGGGCAGATCGGAAGGCCTTCGAGTTCAGTATGTGGAGCTTGACCATGCATGAAAGAGCGAATTGCGGCAGAACACCACGGTGGACGGCAGGAAGTGGGCATCATTCTACTCGGCGTGCATGAGGCTGCATGCCATAGGCTCCGAGACCCGTGCCGAAAAGATTTCTCACCTTGCTGCGCAGCAGTGGCAAGAGCGCATTGTTGCTAGAATTGGCATCCCACCGTGGCCCACTGAAGGGCCGCTGGAGACGTGGCAGCACGCACCCAGGAGTGCCCTGGTGAGCCTGCTTTCTGAAGGGGGGGATGAGGCTCTCTCCTTCCTCCTGGGGCTCAGGGGCCACCTCTCTCACCTCCAAGCGAAGGCCAGGGCGGCGGGCGCCAAAGCTTGGAGGGCTTGGGCCAAGGAGGCTGTCAAGACTCAAGGGGAGGGAGGGGGGGGGCTGCCTACGCTTATGTTCCAGAGCCACTGCCCGACACACAGATCTTTTCGGTGGCCAAAGAGCTAGCGCCGCCGCTGCCTGTCTCGGGGCAAAAGGCAGTGGCCAGGCTGCTGGAGCAATGGGAGCCGCTTTGGAATGCTCCTAAGAGAGATGGTGAAGCCCATCCGAGATCGTGGTGTCCTGGGGCCGTTCCCGTGAGGCCCTCGAAGGCTTCCTGTGTTGCTGTGTCCGACCAGGGGTTCCTGACCTCTGGAGGTCTGGACCCTTGGGTTGAGCTGCCCAGGGTCACCATCTCTCAGCTGAACTCTGTGCTGTCCTCCTACTCGGGCGCCTGTGGGCTGGGGTGGGACCACCTCCACCCGAGGCAAGTTTTTTGGTTGCCAGATTCGTATAAGCAGGCGTCCCTGGACATCCTGATGAAATGGGAATCGGATCCTGAGGATCTTGAGCTCTGGACGCTCCTGATTGTTTTTATGGGCGAACCCGCGCCGTCCACGGGAGTGAGGCACATTGTGTCGGCTTCCATCTGGGGGCGCATCTGGTCAAGACTCAGGCAGCCTGTTGCCAGGAATTGGGAACTGTCTCTCAATAATGACTCCTTATGGGGAGTCTCGGGACAGACCTGCGATAGGGCAGGTCATGCGCACAATATAGTACAGCGTTTCGCCAGACCCAAGGGCTTCTCAGCCGCTAGCTGGCTTCTTGATTTGTCTAAGTATTATGAGCATATCACATGAAGATCTTTCAAGGGAGGCTCTGGCCACGGGGTTTCCAGTCAGGCTCCTCAAGTGCCTTTGTGCAGGGTACAGACTGCCCAGGCGAGCTAGGTGGAAGTCTTTTATCTCGGACCAGGTCCGAGCCAATGGCACGGTAGCGGCTGGATGTAGCTGTGCCTTAGCGCTGGCCATGCTTCTAGTGCATACTGTTACTGTCACTCTCAAGGCCAAGTATCCCATGGTGAGGTTCC